TTTGAGTTTTTTTTCCGTTTTTTTATGTTTTTTTGGCAGTTTTTTAATCTTTATTATTATTTGTCTGAGTGGGCGACAGCAACCTTTCCCACACAACCCAACCATACCTACACCTCCTGCAGCCCCACCGAGTGACAGCCACCACTTGTTTTTGTACCAACTGACCAATGACAGATGATGGCCAATGTCAGCTCAACTCACCCTGAACTGCTCTTTACAAACAGCTAACAGAGATCTGTGCACACACTCACATTCTTTATCACACCCACCAGGAGACAGGTGGTGAGTGCCTAAGTGCTACCAACTAGTGAAAAGAGGAGCACAGTGCTCTGCTCATAGAGATATATCAAAATAAATAAGGGGGAAAAATCTTGGATGAATCACACCAACATACAACCACAGATTAAACATAAATACAACAACATAATAATGTTTCAGAGACAACTGATCATCCCAATCCAAACAAAGAAGCAAGACAAAGTAATACAAACAAAGGACCAGGATACAGACCCAGAAAACATCCCTGAGGAAGAAGCAGCATTGAAACTCCCTGATAAGGAATTCAAAAGAATTATATTTAGGTACCTTCAATGGATTGAGAGACAGATCAAAGAATATATTGTTGAGATCAAGGAAAACACTAACAAGAAGATATCCATTCAAGAAGTTCACTGAACTACAAACAGTATAAACCCTAAAAGAAAATCACTGAGACATACTGTAATCAAGCGCATCAAAACCAAAGACAAAGAAAGAATCCAGAAAGCAGCACAGGAAAAACAGTTACTGACAAAAGGCAACCAATAAGACTAAGCTCTGATTCTTGGCAGAAACCATGCAGGCGAGAAAGCAATGGGACGATATGTATAAAACCCTGAAAGAAAAAAATTGCCAACCAAGAATTATATACCTAGCAAAACTGTCCCTCAAATATGAGAGTGAAATTAGGGCATTTCCAAATAAACAGAAATTAAGGGAATTTATTAAAACCAGACCAATCTTACAAGAGATGCTAACAGGAGTTCTTTAGACAGAGAACCAACAACAGCAGACAACAACCAAAGATTAACATACATACACAACCCAGAAACTAACACAATTATAGAAGTATCCAAAGTAAAATTAGTTTACAAGACTATACACAGGGAACCAGAGACA